GGGGGAATCCACATCCCAACAGAAACCTCATCTACCAAGTATCCCCATTACTGTGATGTCAACATCAGGAACATGCCTTGGCCATAAGCTGTAAGAAACTATTACAAACAACTTCTGTATGTATATGGTTATTAAACTGACTGAAGAGATCAAACGAGCTTACGTTTTATCACGCGAACACACAGAACATACATACCTGCACACTGGCGGTTACCACTGAAGACCCTGAGGCAGAGGATGGTCTATGTGGAGTAGACAACGGTTTAGTAGCACCCTGTGTTCCACTTCCTGTTCCCCCAGAGAGACTAGTCCTATTGGCTCCGCTTGAGTTAAGGTTGCTACCTCTGCTGGCAGGTACATTCACTGCAATTCCACTCAAGCTATTCTTCCCAACAGTTCCAGTGGGTGAGGAATTTGTTAGCTTTGAAGGGGCCTGAAGATTTTTTGTGGATGGAAGGCCTGAAGTACGACTGGAGGGCAGCAAATTCAAGGTGGGAGACTGTCTGCTGAGGTTTATCCCACTGGGCTGTTTATGGACTGGGTTGTTACTGCTGGAGTGGCTGCTCTGGGCTACTAGTGCATTTGGACTGGAAGAGCTTGGGGGTACAGGAGGCTTGGGAGTTGGGTTGGATTTAGAAATAAGTTTAGTTGATACTGAAGGCTTAGTGGACACAGAGGGTTTGGATGAGGCAGAAGGCTTAGGTGAGGGCAAGGGTTTAGGAGATGTGGCAGGTTTTGGAGATGCGGCAAGTTTGGGGGATGCAGCCATTGAGAAGGGAGATTTGAAACCCTGCGTGGACATCTGTGACACCATAGCCTTGGCTAAATAGTTACTGGAGGTAGTGGTGCTAGGTACTGTCCTAGAAACCAGGGGGTGGGACCCTTGAGAACCATTTCCGGGTGAGGGAGTAGATAAGGGAAGGCGGTACATAAGTGGCTTATCCGAAGTCTTAATAAGCGGGGATGAACAGGAAAGTTGGGGATTATTACTTAATTTCACCACTGGGTTGGTCTGTGATTTACTAATGGTTGCTTGTAATGGAGACACATAGTTTTGTTGGACAGCTGAATGCTGGTGCACCTTTGTTACTTGTGTTAACGAAGAAGCGTCTTGGGCCTCTGATGTTCCCAGAGCGTGAGAGGAGGCAGCAACTTGGGCTTGGGAAGAAGAGGAAACATGGGTCTGTGAAGAGGAAGAAGCATGAATCTGACTCGACCTCTGTAGTCCTTGTTGAAGCAGCCTGGCTGGCAAAGGTTCCAAGGAAACTTTAGGGTTCTGAATTGAAGAACCAGCAATAAGGCCTGAAGAGATGCCAGTATGAGCTAAATCCTGGGGTTTCTTTGGTACCGGCCCTGTGTGACCAGCAATAAGACTTGATGAATGTGCAGTCTGAGAAGAATCTAGTTTTTTAGGAGCAGCCAATGGCAGCTTACTCATGATACTTGCTAACTTTTCTTCTCTCAGTCCTGGACGAGGCTTTGCAGTTGGCATGCTTATCCTTGAGCCAGCCGGAGGGCCCTTGTTCCCATTGTTGATAACAGCTAAAGCTTCAGAAACAAGATCCAGTGCAGGTGGATGGAAAGAAAGGTCTTCGTCTAGTGAGTCATCAAGGCAGATGGTCTCCTGGGCTGGTGTAGAGCTAGAACTGGTAGAGGCCACGGCAGATGTGCTAGAGCTCGTTGAAGGACCACCAACTGAAGCCACCAAGGATGCAGGAGTTTTCTGGTCCTTTTTTGGACTACACTCCTACCATAAACAGCATTATATTGGAAAAAATTAAATGAATTATTAAGTATCAGTTTTTAAAGGACTAAGAAATTCTCACGATGATTAAAATTCCACTGGAAATCTTTATAGACTGTAAAAACCAAAACATGTCTGAGGACAGAGCTCCTGACTGAACTGTGCTCATAAGCCAAAGCATCTGATACATTGCAAACAGCTGCCATACCTTAGTAAGCTCTTCTGAGAAGACTTAAAATTAAAACCAAGCCAAAGGAACGTTCACATACTAGTTACATTATTGGTGAAACCCCGTTCACCCTGCCCACCTACATCAGATCTTCACGTGCTATTCCAAATCCGTCTGTTCAGAGGCTATTCTCTTTTTATTCTCCTTGCACCTAGAAGAAATTCTGCATTTATCCTAAGACTCCACCCTTCTTCTATAGAATGGTTTGCTAGGATACTGACCCTTGCTTTCTGCTTCCTTGTATTTCTGCCCTCTGTATGCCCTGTGCTAGAGCCACCCAGAGCCATACGTAGAGAAAGTAGTACATCAAACTGGGATTCGTCCAAGCATACGAAATTATGTCTTCTATTTATCATGGTAGAAATCTTTTGTAATGTATTCAACATATATTTACTAAATGTGTACTATGAGCAAGGCCATATACTAAGAAAACAGGGTTATTAGAAATTAAAATTCTGAATACCTAAGAGAATATTGTCTGTTTTTTCAAAAAATTAACCTTCTTAAAATTCAAGTAAGAGAAAAGAGAATTAGAGCACAGTTTATTCTTTTTTAAGTTTATATATTTATTTTGAGAGAGAGAGAGAGAGAGCACGCGCATACAGGGGAAGGGCAGAGAGAGAGGGAGAGAGAGAATCCAAAGCAGGCTCCGTGCTAATAGTGCGGAGTTCGACTTGGGGCTCAACCTCACGAACCATGAGATCATGACCTGAGCCAAAATCAAGAGTCAGACACTTCATTGCTTAACCGTCTGAGCCACCCAAGCACCCCATAAAGCACAGCTTAAAATATTCAAAAAGCAAAAGAATTAAAAAGTAACTGTTTCCCTTAAAAGAGAAATATAAAGTATCTGACTCATGTCATTTTTAAAATTAAGAAGAAATAAAACTATTACATAAAAATCATTTCAAAGTTTCTTTGATTGGTTTCTTAAAAACAAACCCAAATAAACCTAAACCCAAAGTCTTAAATTGTGTATCAATTTATATCACCACAACACTTACCTTAACCACAGTGGGGAAAGAATGGAGAGGAAGTGTCTCTACTATCACCTTCTACTGTATTACAGTAAATCAGCTGTTAAAAATGCTTTAAACTCTAACTTCTTCAGCAATTTTTCTAAGCTGCTACTCCAAAAGCCCTGATTGAAAACCCCACTGCCTCTCAGAATTCTGTAGTATAACCACATTAAGGTCAAAATTGTTAAGATATGAATGGGTAATGCACATAAAACATGTCTGCTTTGACATGCCATCCATCTAATTGTGATTAGTGAAAATTTCATTTTATAAAAAAGTATAGAAACTGATGATGGGAGAATGTATCAGAATAATACTGGTAGTGTTACCAATATAAAACTGCTTTTTGAAGTAACTTTTTATTTTTTAATGAATAAACTGGCTTTACTTTTACTGATTTATCTTTTAAGTTTTTATTCATTTTGAGACCGTGCACGTGTGAGAGAGAGAGAGAGAGAGTGCACGCACCGGTGGGAGAGGAGAAGAGGAAGAGAGAATCCCAAGTGGGGCTTGATCTCATGAGCCATGAGATCATGACCTGAGCCAGAATTAAAGAGTCAGAGGCTTAATCAACTGAGCCACCCAGGTGCCCCTATTTATTTATTTTTAGAGTAAGCTCTAGGGCCAATGTGGAGCTTGAACACATAGCCCTGAGATCAAGAGTTGCATGCTCTTCTGAGCCAGCCAGGTGCCCCCAAATTAATTTTTTCTTTATAAAAATAACATTAAATCCACCCAGCAGAGTACTGTGTAAATTTATACTGGCAGAGATAATTGTTCAGGGTATATACTTGAGTCAAAAAGCAAACTATCCCATTTATAAAATGTTAAGTCATATGAATAAATGAACAGGTGTTTGGACGGAGGGAAGGGAGGGTGGGTTTGTACCAGAAAGTAGGAGCTTTTTTTTTTTCCTGGATACTTATACTTTTTGATTGTTAGCATTTTCTTTCTTTCTTTTTTTTTTTAAAGTAGGCTTCATGCCCAATGTGGGGCTTGAACTCACAACCTAGAGATCAAGAGTCACATGCTTCACCAACTAAGCCAGCCAGGCACCCCTGCATTTTCTAATGTATTTCCTTGTATTATCTTTGTAATTAAAACAGGTATTTGAGGGGCGGTAGGGTAGGAGAAACACAAATCGGCGATATAGTTTTTCCATTTGGGGAAAAGGAAAAAATTTAATCACAAAGACACAAACAAGCAAAAACAGGGAATTCCCTATACCATCCTTGTCAACATCAGAATTCTGATAAATTAGTCATATGTTTGAATAGATGTAAAATTTAACAAACACTTTATGAAGGGCATTAGGAGTTTAAAAATAATGTGTCAAAACAAAGCATGAACTCAACAGATGTGATGGAATACTGGCTCACCATTATTTAGATTAGAAGACAAATGAGGTATGTAAGAAAAAGAGGACTATTCGTACTTACAAAGCCTCTAATATTAAAAGTTAAGAAGGCCACAGAGAAGGATGGCCTTCTGGCCATACCTCTTAAGCAAAGAAACTCATCTATTCAAAGAGATGAAGTCTATAGGGAAAGTCCAAAACCTAAATAAAGCGTGTGGGATTTCTCTATAATTTTACTTAATTTTACTTTTCAAATGATTACAGTTTTCACTTCTAGAGATTATACCTGGTTCTTTTTCAATTGCTTTGTCTGTTGTGATATTTTTTATCCTGTCTTCTCCTTCTTTGAATATTAAACAAGTTAAATTCCTTTATGTTCGAAACCCAGTAAGTCCGTCACTTGGCCCTCTCAGGGATCTAATTCTGTCAGATGTTTCTGCTGACTCTCACTCATAGTCATTCATTTCCTTGTGTAATCTGTATTTTCAGACTGTAAGCTCATGTTTGACACAGTATATATGTGGCAAGCCTTTGAAGCCTGCTATGAGACTGCATTATTTCAAGGAAAATTTGATTTGCCAATTGCCTTGGGTTAATACTAATTCCTTTAAGTTATTTTCAAAGTTTGAGGATTTCCCAGATCTTGCAGGTAGTATAAATTAAACTCCTGAACTCCTTAAATTCTCAGGGAGGACTTCCTTCCCCTAATCTAGGACTCAGGCCAAGACACACAAGTTTCTTACTTTCTGCTGGCGAGTGAATTTTTCTAGTTCTTTCTTTTACCAAAGGTGTTACCCTCTGAAGGTCCGGGTTCATGCAGAGTTTCAGTCTAATTCTTAATCTATATAAGCCCAAGAAAACCCTATCTCCTGTGCTCTGAGAAGAAATTTGAAAATAAATCATAAAGTGATAGATGAAAATCAGCAAGTACCCCTACAGGCAACCAAAGTTTCAAAGACATATTAACACGCTGGTAGCTTCTTTGCGTTGGGCCCTTGGGATTTCTCTTATACATCTGCAATCTCAGCTGTGCTTTTAAAGGATATTTGTTATATTTTATAGTGTTTCTAACTTGTATGAGGTTAAATCTTACAATTTAATTAATGTGTGCAAATTTCCCACTACCACACAGTCATCTATTCTTGGAAATACAGGGGTTCTAGGATTTTTACAAAGTTTAAAAACACTCTTCTTAAGAGTACACTACCTATTGATCTATGATAAATACCATATATCCTTTTCATCTTATGAATGTATTTCAACATTCCTCAATTATGACCAATTAAAGATTTGGTTCAATACTTACCTTCACTTTGGGTTTAGGTGCAGGAATCACCTTTTTCTTTGCCCTAAGACAACAGATTAAAAAGGAGGTCATTTCAGTAGCAATTAGGTCACTCATTATGAAATTCTAATCTTGCCATTACATGGGTAAATAATTTCTTATGCTATTTGGAAAATTCTATGAAGGAACTATACATATGTGTGTATTTATATATGTGTATACACACACACACACACACACACACACACACACACACACACACACACACACTCAGTTTATATATGAATATACAGCAACATTTCCTCCAATTTCAATTAACTGGAAGAAAGGCTGAACCATTAGCAAAATATGAATGGTAGATGATAAAAGGTTTTAAAAATTAAATGTAAATAATCAAAATAGAATTAAAAAAATAACTGAAGATAGGGTAACAAAGCTGCCTGAGAAGACCCACTTCAAAGAACTGGTAAGAATTAATAATTTTTTATAAGAAAATAGATCTTCAAGAAATCTCAAGCTCAAATTAAACCATAATTTGAGAAGAACCAATGCCAAGAACTTGTAAATAAGGTATTATTTAAAAAAATAAAATTCTTTTTTTTAAAGAAAATTATTTTAATATGAGAATTCAAATAAAAAATGTCAAAATGACAGGAGGATAAAAGGCAAGTAAAATACCATGCAACCCTGGAAACTTTGGGAACCAGTGTGAAAAAGTTTGAAGACAAAAATCTTATGTGTTACATAAGAGGAGAAAGTACCCAAATGTCTGCTGAATAACTAAAGGGTTAACAAGCTAAAATACCTCACACTGAGTATTTCTACTTCACTAAATTGAAATGTCATCCATTAAATTAACAAATATCTTGATTAAAACTGCCAATCTACAACTTCATTAAGGCGACAGTAATTTTCCAAGTTTTTTTGATAAAGACCATTGGGGCAAAAGATATCAGGCCCACACATCCCATAGATTTGTACTTTCCGATACAAAGCAAAACAAGACAAAACAAAACACAAGTTAGTCATAATAATAAAGCCACCTAAAAAACTGAAGAGAGGGTCTATGTAAATATATGCTTTAGATTTAAAGGGATGAATTATTTATACCTGAATTGTAACACATTTGTGATTTTAGAACTATAGGGAAATTAAAGACCAGAAATATTATTGACACCAATACATACACACACATATATATATACCCCCCACCCCAGGATAATTAAACCACCAGCAACAAAGTAAACCTATGTGTATGAAACCAAACTTATCCCAAATTTATACTCAAGAAACAAGAATAGCAAGAACCAAAAACCACAATCAACCCAACATAACTCTGATAGTATACTAACAAAGTGTCCTTCCTAAGAGTTGTAAAAAATTCCATTATAATTGTACACAAGGAGATGGAGAGTTTGTTACCCAGTTGTTAACCAGACCGCTTAGAATATTGAATTACAGTGGTCTGTAAATTCTCAGTGACTTGCTAACTGTATATTTTATTAACTCTTACTATTACACTTCTATGGTGCAGAGAAATAGCCCTAAGTTGTAGGTAAATATAAAATTCTTGTTGAGTCAACCAGTATTCACCCAAAAATATAACCACAAAAACCCCAGCTTTTTACTACTGCCTACCAGGATCAGAGGCTTTTCTTTAGTAATCATACCACTAGGGAAATACCCAGTTTTGAACAGAAGGGAAGGGCATGAAAAATAGATTACTTTTGTAGAATGAAGCACTCTGCAAGGCAAGGCAGGGTAGGTATGTGTAAGAAACTGTCTTCGAAGGCACAAAGCTACAGGTTAGCTATGCTGATCATCATTAAGAGGGAAAGAAAAAGGACACAAAATAACTGGAGGGAAGAAGGCCCAGGAACAAAGGAAACCATCAGAGGCTTCCTGTCTACATGGCTCCTAGCCGCCAGATCTCAGGCCAGCATAGATTCAGGTGTTTGGAGACTAGCCTGAGAACTATTAAACAGATAAATGTGGTCTCAGGTCAACAGAAAAATGATTCTTTTTGAAAAAAAGGCAGTAGTAAAATGGAGATCGTCTAAATGTACATTTAAGTACTATGTTGCCTAGCATTTAATAAATAGTACTTTTGTTTACTAAAGCACATAATGTGAGTAAAAACAAATGAAGAACTATGGAGTCTGTTTTACTCACGGAGCAGAAGTAAGATGATTATGTACACTCCGACTTTCCTTAAAAAGCATTCTGCAAAAGTTAAAAGGACACAATTATTTTTGTGTAACAGATAATGATAACCACTTTCTCATTTTACTCACATGGTTTTCAACAGTCTATTACTTGCTTATTTATCAAATGGAAGTTATAATGGCACAGAGTAAATTCAGTAATCTGTCTTACAGGGAGTTTTACAGAAGATTTATTTATTTAAATCTTTTAACAGATCAAAAGATGTTTTCTGTTGATTTAACTGGTTGCGACAGCTGCGTATCTTAACATTCTTAACACTTTATGGTTTAAATTGGACGACTATGCATTTTTGAGACACCACTCTATATTGACTATTGACAACAGAACCCAAGGTTGTGTGTCTCTATTTCTACACTCTCAATTTTGTATTCAGCTCTAGGCTTATCTTCATGATACCTATGTGAAGTCCCCTCCCAAAGTTTATAGCCATCTACCTCTCCACCCATTTTCTCTATTAGCAAAGTCAGGTGCAAAAAAAGAGAAAGTGGTTGGCAAAAAAGTCACCTTTATATCTCTGTATCGCCACGTCCCTGTGACTAACCATTTTGTCTTTTCAGTGCCTGAAGTTTTCAAAGCAGAGATCATCTGAGAGGACTATAGAGAACGCTAAACACACTAGGTTCTTAGCAAAATGAATGTCACATATCTGTCTCTATACATGTATCTTTAAACACAGCAACAATAAGAAAGTAAAATAAAATCTAGGATGTCATATTTCTTACCTTGCCTGCATCCAGCCCTTAGGCCACAATGGTTTCACCTCTGTCTCCATAAAGGATTTAAGATAATCCTCAGCGGACTGGCTTTTATTTGGCTCTAACTCATAGCATCCCAATTTGATCTCAACAAGGTTACATAACAAAGTTCTAAACAGATTAAAAATATATATTTATATATAAATCTGACTGCAAAATTGTGGAAAAGTAAGTTTGAAACAGATTTTTTTAAGCACATAAATCTGACAGCAATAATAAAGAATATTATCTCAAGAATTCAGATGACATGAAGATAAATAATTTCTAACACACATCACTCATTGCACTACAGCCAAATCCCCAATATGAAACAATTTCCTTTGATACCTTTCATCTAGGCACCAAAGACTGAAAGGGATAGTCCTGCAACCAAACCCTCTATTTGGGGTACAGAAATATTGGTCAAAAAAGATGACCGATTACAGATGTATACAGAGTACTTCACCTTCTGAAGCCAATATGACTGACTTAATAATTAGAAGATTAGTTTATAGAAAGTAGCATATGAAAATAAAAGTGAGAGCACTCTAAAGATACCAGGACCAAATCAAACTTCTCTTGAATAAATTTTTCCTACACACCAATTTTTGGTTGCTGCCAATCTACTCTTCCATTTACTATATATTCTTTTTGTTAGAAACCTTAGTTCCGCATTGTCCATTTGGTTAAAAGTGAAGGCTTTGGTTAAATTTTACCTGATGGTGTCATTCCAGTGGAATTTCTTTCTTGGTCCTATGACACGCTTCCCCGGTTTCTCATCATCATCTTCCTCGGATCCATTTTTCTCTCGTTCTTCGTCTGTCTGCAACCTAAAAATGAAAAAGATTTTATGAAGCGAAGTTCTAACCCAACAGTGCCTATGATATGCTCCAGAGACACCTGTTAAATTGCTTAACTGAATGTTAACTCAAAAGGCAGAGTAAATAATCTACCTTTATACATAATATTTTGAAGAGCATCACAAAGTAGTTTGGTAAATTAGGTCTTCAAGCTGTGTCATTTAAGGGCATGATTACTTATCTTTGAGTTCAGAAAATACTGACTTCAGCCAGTTAAATTGGGTGACATGGGAAATACCCGACCAGTGCCAGCTCTTGCTTTCATCACACCCACCCACTAGATCAACAGAACTTTTGCTTTTGACATCAAAGCAACTGAATGGGAAGTGTTGTGTCATTTAGAAAATATTCAATTATACTGTTTCAGTGGCATATGTGGATTTCTATTTGGTGATAAAGTCCACATAAGACCAATCCCTAAGAGCTAAAAATATTTCTCAAATGCAAAAGCCAGTCCAAACAGAAGAGGTACATACTTGGCACACTTAGCTTGACTGCGAGCTTGGCAGTCCTCCTGGTATTTAAATAGCTGTTCAGGCATGACGTTGCTAACAGCCAGTTTCAGTTTTTGCAGAGGTTCTCTTAAACGATCATCCTGAGGGGGGAAAAAAAAATACTACAAGTTTTTTTAAATACATTTACAAAAAATTATTTTGCAAGCAGATTCTCAAAAGACACTAATTACAGATTTAAAATGTAAGCATATTTAAATATGGACATTTCTTCTACAGCACTCAGTCTTCAGGAGGCACACTGGATATAAAATTAGAATGACCATACTTCCCAGGAAGCCAACGAGAATCCTAGTTTGTGCCTGGTAATTACCCCAGCATAATTAATAGTGTTCCTTACACTTGTTTCTTTAAATTTTTTTTTTTTCAACGTTTATTTATTTTTGGGACAGAGAGAGACAGAGCATGAACGGGGGAGGGGCAGAGAGAGAGGGAGACACAGAATCAGAAACAGGCTCCAGGCTCTGAGCCATCAGCCCAGAGCCTGACGCGGGCCTCGAACTCACGGACCGTGAGATCGTGACCTGGCTGAAGTCGGACGCTTAACCGACTGCGCCACCCAGGCGCCCCTGCACTTGTTTCTTTAAAAAAAATGTTTTATTCGAGTAGAGTTGACACATAACGTATTCCTTTACATTTTTAAAAATGCCCCACGTTTGGCCAAGAAATTATATGGACACTTCAAATGTCATAAAAAATTAAGTAAAGAACAAAATCTACACTATGCAGACTACTACCAGTCGATCCCCATTTTGATGGGGTACCATGAGAGGAGATACTGCTTTGCAACACTAGAACACATAATTTGGTTTGGGTGACAACCGACTGGACGTTGGCATCCTGTTCTTTCGTTTATTGTTACCAATTGTGACTTACGCTGCAAGCAGTTACACGGTCAAGGTCAAAGAGAAAGAGGAAACTGGAAGACTCTTACTGTTTTCATGCATACCAGTTAACAAACATTACTGCACACGTTACAGTGTCTGCTACAAAATCCTATTAAAAGAAATGTGAACGTCCGGTATCAGGGTTCCTAGGTGATCACTTCCTAATTCTGTAGCTGCGACTATCTGCCTGGGAACAACCCACCTATCCATCAGCCGTAAAAAAGACACAATAACTGGGATGTATTAACAGAATGGAGCAGTGTACACACTGTAGAGCAGTACAACTGGAGTCCTCCACAGGTAAAGACATAGCTAAATCTGAGGTACATAATGTTCAGTGTAAAAAAGCAAGCTGCAGAAGAAAAGTATGGAGACAGTATGACTCCATTCATACGGAGCTCAAAAACATGCAAAATCAAATAATATAGTATTTAGGGATTAAAAGTATACATGACAGGGGCGCCTGGGTGACTCAGTCAGGTGAGTGTCCAACTTCAGCTCAGGTCATGATCTCACAGACAGTGGGTTCAAGCTCCGCATCGGGCTCTGTGCTGCCAGCTCGGAGCCTTGAGCCTGCTTCCGATTCTGTGTCTCCCTCTCTCTCTGCCCCTTCCCCGCTCATGCTCTGTCTCTCTCTCTCAAAAAATTAACATTAAAATAAATAAATAAATAAATAAATAAATAAATAAATAAAGTATACATGATAAAATCATATGAAGAAAATCAAAGGTTAAGATAGATGTCTTCTTCCACAGGAAGAACAGGAATATTAAATAACCAAACATCAAATCTGAAATGCCCCCTAGAAAATATTTTATAATGTATGAAAAGTTGTTCTCCTGCCTCTAGTTCCTTTTTTCACTGGTACCCATGTCTGTCACCTGAATGTATGGCAGTGAGCTCCAGCAGTCAATGTCTGAAGGAGCCAGGCAAAAAAAAAAAAAAAGGAGCCAGGTCACACAAAATCTGTGACCTTGAGTAAATTTCATTTGTTGATTACTCTGCTTTACGTTGAGAAAGAACTTACAGTTTCTGAATTCAAAAGAGTTATTTTATTAACATTAGTATAATACCTATAATAAAGAATTCTATGCCAATCAGCTCTTAATACTAGTGGTCCTGGGCACCATGTTCATTCCCCCATCAGCTATGGAGGCCCTTGGCCAGCCATGTTGTGCTGTGTGACTCCCAACCTCTGGCCAGAAAAGTTTAGGTTGACCCAACATAGTATAATCAGATTTCCTGATCCAAAAACTTGGATTGGGATGAGAGGGTTGAGTCAGTCTCTGTGTGTGGCCTTTCTATAATATAAAACCTTGAGAATGAAGTAATCTTATTTTCAGATGCACATAAAAGGATAAAAATAAGACACAGGGAGAGAAAAACAAGAGCTAATCCAAATTATCAGTTCCCATCCCTTTCTGGTTGTTTTTTTGTTTTCTTTTGTTTTGTTTTTGAGAGAGAGAGAAAGAGAGAGTGCGTGTGCACATGAGCAGAGGAGGGGGAAAGAGAGAGGAGGACACAGGACCCAAAGCAGGCTCCGCGCTGACAGCAGAGAGCCCGATGTGGGGTTCAAACTCACGAACTCTGAGATCGTGGCCTGAGCCAAAGTCAGATGTTCAACTGACTGAGCGACCCACGTGCCCCTCGTATGTACTTTTAATTCCATCAAATACCTTTATTAATAGAAAAAAAAAATGTCCTTTCTTGTCTTAAACTGCATTATTTCCTATTACTTGCAAGTTACAAATATTTAAAAAATAAATAATCAAATAAATCATAAGGGAAAAATCATCAGGCAGTGAAGGTACTGAAAACCACCTTATATGGAAGTGAAGGAGGGGACATAATACAAGCTTTCAAAAACATGAAAGCCATGAAGGTGACAAATAATTAGGTTTATGAATGGACTCAAAGGTAGAATCAGGACCAATAGGGTGGAAAGCACCTGGATATGTCTCAGTGCACAGAAGAACTTTCTGATATTATAATGAAATAAGTTTCTGACCACTGGAAGCATTCAAACTTAGATAATTACTTGGTGGTGTTTTAGGGGAGAAGAATCTAGCAAAATATGGATGATTACACACAAAAAAATCTCCAAGTTTACACGTAACCCTGTGATTCTTTCTCAGTTTTTGTAACGTAGGCATGAACAAATCTGTACAGATCCATTTCAGTAATAAGAAAACCGAGTTATAAATCTGTCAGACATTTGTTGAGGGCAAAGTTGTATCACCTGTGGAACTGACATTAATTTACCAGTCCAGGAATCTACGCCTTAGGAAACATTCTCGTCTAGCCTTTTCAACTGTTGAGAAGTAATTTTTTTCAAGAGATTTTCTATGCCTTTAATAATCTCCTATGGTTATTCAATACATACAATTAAGAGTATAAAGCAACTAATATGCAAAAGCCCCAAATAGAAACTAGTCTCTTTATAGGTTATAAAACTCCAGATACGGATATTATTGTTCCTCTTCTTACCTGGACGTTGAGATGTAACTTCTTTAGACGTTTCACCAGTGTTTCTTTATTGCATGGCACAAAAGCTTCAAGATGGGAGTAGACACCACTACGAATGACAGGGCCTAATTCCTGTAGCTGTAACTCAATGCTGAACAAAAACAACAACAAATAAATAGTACAGAATTTCTTTTCGGTACTAATACATAAGCAAGGAGGTAAAAGCAATGACTCTTCTCTCGTTTTATCTTTCCACGATTTCCTAGACAGTATTTTTCAAGGAAAAAAATATACAGAGAATTTATATAAACATAAGTAGTCTGGTGACTAATTTTTTGATGAACAGGGACAAAGCTTACATTTTTGGGTAAAGCATAGGAACTCCATTATTAACCAAAACCTCATTTCCTCAAAGAGATAGATATTCACATCCCCTCTCCCCCCACCACAATTGCTAAGCTAGAGAGTCACATAGTTTCAATGAGTTCTTAGAATATTTTTTCCTTAGAGGTGTCTGAAAAAATTGCAGATCCAGAAGAGGTAAAGCTCTTCTGGCTACACATACAGACTGTTTTATCCATTTGTCTCCCTTATTATGCCTGCCTTGCACAAATTAGATACTTAATAGTTGGCTCAATTTATTCCAATTCTTCAGTTCCTGTTTCCATTTATAAATTAGTTTTTTAGATCAAAAATAAATTGTTAAATGGGTATTTAGCCTAATAGTTATTTAAAGAAGGGGAAAAAAAAAAAAAAAAAGGAAAAGAGTTTTAACAGCCACCATATTCCCAGCTGGACAAGTCTACCACGAAATAACGGAGGTTTCTCCCAAGATGGAAGACACTAAATCTGGCAGCTGCTATTGTAGGAAGATAGGAACAGATGCTAATTTGAAGGCCAAGACTGAACTGGAGCTCTTGGCAACAAACTACATCCAAATCATCACATTCTATGATAGGACAACGTATAGATAGATTTAATAAATAATTCTCATAAATAGATTCAGTTAACAGCTTTTGGGGAAGAAACCCTGCCTATCAAATATATCCATCACTTAGAAACAGTGAAATGTGGAAAACTATGCTCTTAGCATTGGCAAGAGAAAACGCTTGGTATTAAAGAAGTCAAATACAATATACAAATAGAAAAATGTTTAGGATCTATAAGAACCAGAAGGTCAAATGCACAGGATCATATGGGAAACAACCATTACTGTCATGAGTTCTGTGTATAAACATTTGGTTAAATAAATTATGCGTGAAGCTTTATTAAAAGTCTAGACTCTGGGTAGGATGCTTTCTATGCTTGCCCTGTTATTAAACGGTAGTTGAGGCTGAAAATAAAATAGAAACTCCAAGTAGTAAGAGATTTCAATTAAGAATAGATTGACTCAGTGACATACTTAAAAAAATAAGTGGTTTCCAAAGAGGGCGAAACTCAAAAACAGGAAGAACTGACTCCCTGCTGCTAAGCCAATACTAGGGAAAAATCAGAGAAGCATATTAACCCTTAAGGTTACAGACTATACTGGTCTATCACAAATATATACAAAATCCTACCTGACAGCAGTATATTTTAAACACACATCCCTCATACAGTTATTTATTTTTTTTCCTAAGAATTACAATCTTCTAAGGTCTTAAAAAGGATCTGCAGATGACTAAAAACACATGCCAATCAAAGTTTGAATTTCAGGTATTTTCACATTTCAGAAAAATAAAGGTTCTCCCAAAGCAATGAACTTTCCTGAGTCTGACCCCTTCTCTCTACCAGGTTTCTTGTCTTTTCTTTCCTTCTTTATGTAAAGTCTGTCCCCAAAGCAGATATCCATGCAAGAATGTTACAATGACTGGGTCTCAACCCTCTGATAATAAATTATAAGCATGAGATTACTACAGGCTCTAAATGGATAAAAATATACTGGGACCACCTGCTGATAATGCACTGGAGGACAAACACTGGATTTCCTGAGTATATAAGTTTGAAACCCACTTTTTTTTTTTTTTT